CTTAGAAACTTTAGTATCATTGATTTCAAATCTGCAATCATTTTCTTTCTCCAAGCTACATTATTTTTTTAATATAAAATTTTCAGTCGATTTCCAGTCGAACTATACGAGATTAAAAAAGTTATATATAAGAAGGGATGACATAAATTTCTAGGAGAGTTAAAGCACATAATCAGAATCACATAGGAATCCATGCACAGAAGTGTCGTCATATGCCGATAGGGTTGCTTCCCTTACTGTGAATTGTTTCTTCAAGTGCTTCTGAACTGGTCATAATAGTAAAACATCCTTAACCACGTTCGACGATATTTTGGGCCAAGGGATTCTGTGCAATATTAATCCTAGTAATGTGTCCTAACTGCCCTAGAAGTTTGTTGCAACGTTTACACGAATCCCTGTTTCATATAAAGTTAACAAACTAGAAACTTTTTACTAAAAATATCATTTAAAAATTTTTTTAGCTTCAGGAGCAAAACTAATTTCAGATTTCTAATCTCCACGTCCAAATTCGGCAAGATCAAATATTTGTATAAATGTAACAATACAAAAAATTTGTTTCGCAGTGTAATTATTTTGACACCAAGCCACTTGAATTTTAAACGAAACGAATTTATATTTAACAAAACTGTTTTCCTCACTGGTGTGCCGTGCTATCTCAGTGCATTCTGAGAATCCTCCAAGAAATTTTTTTTATCTGTTTTTAAAACCGCTTGCATTGCAAAAGGGGGTGACATAGAGATTATTGAACTCAAGAAAGTTTTTGAGGTTCAAGTTCTGATGATGACTCAGTAACTAATTTGCGAATCTTCTTTTTATTCAACTTAAGATTTTTTAATCAAATACTTTTATCAATAAAAACGGAGGAAAAATTATTCTAGTAACATTAAACGTTCTGTGTGTTAATGACTTGTCTTGTAAAATAAACCATAATTCTGATAAATAAAACTAAACTATCAGATATATATAAACCATTCATTTGGTAATTTTTCCGTTCATATGGTAGCGGTTCACCGGAAATTCTGGTTTTAGAAAATGTTATGGTTCTCATTACCACACATTTAGTAAAGTAAATTTAACTGAATAAATATTTTTCATGTCATGCTCTGAGGTATCGTGATAAAATTATCGAATTTTATTTTACATTATAAAATTATATTTTATTGTTAATTTTACGTAAGAGTTATTACCAAAGCACTACGGTAAAAACAATAGAGTTTTTTTGTGTTCCCACAGAGCCAGAAACATGACAAGTTTTAGTACGTTCTGGTAGTTTTGATCATATTTTTTTTTCTTAACGCGCATTTAGATTAACTTTTTTTGACGAAATTCGATCCCTCATCTAAGTTATGAAAGTGATTTTTCAAATGGGTCTAAATGTTTTCCCAAGAGTATTTTTCAGGAAACGTTTTTGTCAAAAGTTAAGGAAATTTCATAAGTTTTTTGCGTTCATATAATACAGTAGAGATGGGTAAGTAACATCTTTTGGTATCTGTTACAAACTGATATTGATACAACTAAGTATCAGTTACAATAACCTGAGTTCTTCAAATTGGCGGGGGTTTGGAAGCCATTTTTTGTGAAGAACACATAAACCTGTACATGTATTTATAAAAATAACTAAAATAAATAAATTCATCAAAGGATGCAACGGAATTCAAATATTCTGCCTTAACCAATCAGAGTTAAAACAAAACTAAACCCTTTGGCTCCGACAGATCTAGAATTTTTTTTTTTTTACTTATTTAAATACGCATACGTTAGGTAAGTACTTTATTTACGTAGCACTAGAACTGCACAAGGAGCTAACGGCGATGATCAAGGAAACTTCCCTGAGAAGGATCCGAACACATGCCATCACAATTCTGATCCTTTGCTGAAAGGACAGCTCCTCCGCCTTAGTAGTCTAACGGCCTGTTCACGAATTTGAGCACTTTACTCTAGAACAGTTTAACTAGGACCGATATCGCACAGCCTTGGTCTCTGCGCTGGCTGATTAATGTGGTCGTCCACCTGCTTACTGACTGAAGCCAATGATGCTTGACTTCGGTGTTCTACTGGGAACCGTGTCCTTGAGATCAGTCTACTACGCGATACATACATATCCAAGCTTGTATGTTCCATACAAAGAAAGGCTTCTGAACCCAATACAAGACACATAAATAGTATAGAGTGCACAAATTAGTGAAAGTAAGCACATAGATATGGATAGGTGGGATTTGAACCTAAAATTACAACGCTTCAGAACGTTTGGTGAGCATTTTCGGCCCTCGCAATTTTTTTTAATATTTGTTGCAGGGGCTGAGAGAGCCAGGCTGTAGGGTGTTGGGCCAATTTTCGAGAGATCGTGAGTTCGTTTCCAGTCGGCCGAAGACTTCCCGTGTACAAAATGGTGACTGGTGCACGCTAATGCTGTCGGGGTCACAAAGTTATCGAAGTTCCCATAGCAAATCAATACCTCAACTGGATCGAGATAGATCGTGTCCTGATTCAGGTACAAATAACGATGAGACAATGCGTCCCTCCTGTAGAACGGGATGTGAACTATCTCTTTTTCATCTGATCATCCTCAGGGATGTCTCCCAGACCGTCTCCAATAGCCCATTGATTAACTCTAGTGCGACGTAAGTAAAAGTAACCTAACGTACTATTTGCTTCAGTGCTCAGGTGAATATTATATAACTGCTCCAAAAATTTCGTTGATGATTAAATATTCGAATTTTGGTATGTTCGAACCAATTTCGGGAAATTTCTTCTGGTTTTATAAAAAAAGTTACTAAAAATTTATTCTGGTTTGATAAAAAAATAGCTTCTAATTTTACGATAATTAAGACACTTAATTACTGACCAATGTTCAAAAGACATCCAAAAGAATAAACATACCGCTCTTTCAGTGATTCTGTTACAGTGTTTTAAGAGTCTTATAATGGAATGCTATTTATGACTCTTTTACGGCGTCTTCCCTGGAGCGGAATCAATGCTTTGAATTTTCCACAACTCTTTGAATTTTGAAAAAAGAAAAAGAAGTCCGACTACGAGTCGGACAGCTATTACAGCTAGAGGTTGTGTCACGGATTCGGTAGTGTTTCTACAATTTTCATCGCCTAGAAATCCAACTAACCCCCGAATCCCACATTTGTTCCACTTGTTTTGCCGATGGAGAGTGCAATATACACTGTGCATGCTCCAAAACTTCTATAGAATGATCTCGGTATAGTATTATAGAATGATATTATAGATATTTTTTATACTCGGCATGATATTATAGACTGATCTCCATCTCTTCATATCTCCACCATGTTGCGTGTTTACATTTCGAAGAAGGGTAGCTCAATGGTTGGGGAATCGGACTCCAGTCCTGAGGGGATGGGGTTCGATCTTCGACTTTGCTAAGAACCACCGAGCACATGCTACTAAAATCTGTGGAATCAAAAGTCCCATGGTCGGTTGCTAATCAGTACCATGTGTATAGGGATCTGGAGAAAGTTTCTTTTGTTCATTTACGTCGCACTAGAGCTGCACAATGGGCTATTGGCGACGGTCTGGGAAACATCTCTGAGGATGATCCGAAGACATGCCATCACAATTTTGATCCTCTGCAGAGGGGATAGCACCTCCGCTTCGGTAGCCCGACGACCTGCACGCGAATTCGAGCACTTTACGGTGGAACAGTTGAACGAGGACCAATACCGCACACCCTCGGTCCCTACGCAGACTGATCCAAGTGGTCACCCACCCGCACACTGACCGTAGCCAGTGATGCTTGACTTCGGTGATCTGCTGGGAACCGAGTCCTTCCCTTTCAAATGTGACGTTAAAGTAGTTGTTTTTGTTTACAGGGATTAAACCTTGGAGCTAGTCTGAAGAAGTCCAAGACGTGCTAATAAAATCTGAAAGCTATTCTATATTACCAGGTAAATTAGGAACTCTGTGTCTATATATGTATTTAAATTTAATTTTATGATTAGCATTTTACAATATTAGCTTTATACTAACGTATCCATAATATCTTTAGGTAGGTAGTAGACTTTTAGAGCTGTGTATGAATTATTTATAAATTAAACAAATTATCTGTGAACCTGTGATTCTTAACACCTAATGACTAATGATTTTTTAATATAATAAGCTCAATATTCCCTGCTTAATAATTTATTAGTGACAACATAAGTGAAGTTTAGTTGAATATTAAATTTCATAAATTGTCACTGATTTTATTACCTAAAATTATTTTTATATTCAATTTCTTTAGAAGACCATGATAGGAAAATAGAAATAGGAAAGAAAGAGTTCTCTTTTTGCAAATAATTAGTTCACACACGCACAAACTTTTTATTTACTTAACTCACTAAAATATCATTTTGAAAAACAGAATGAACTGACAGTTCGTTATTCAATGTAAAATTTATTAGTAGATGGTAAGTTGCTATGATCAGCAACAAAACTTTTTACCCTATATTTTCATGTTGAGAAGTGCGTTTGTAAATTTTGAGAAAATCGCATTCGTGCAACCAACTGGCATGCTTGTTTGTGTTTTGAAAAGCTTTACACAGCTCACGTGATATCATTTCCAAAATAACAACTGTTATTTTCGTACAATGAAGCCCAGCTGTTTTCCCGATCGTCATAATTGGTGTTTGGAGACAACTGTTTCAGCTAGGTGTTGATTATTAACAGGTATGAACAATAACTATCACATTGCAATTTCCTAATTAATCAAACACGTTTGGATGACAGGGAGAAAGTTTCATAAATTCGCTCAGTTTAATATTAATCATATGAAATTAAATGTTCGATCATTAATTTTCTATCAATTAGCAAACATCGAAAATCAATGTAACTGTTATTTATTCGGGTTATCTATATTCATTCCTATTGCTGTTATGTATATCGCTGTTTACAAGTAAAAACTATCTCCAAGTGGAATATTATTACTTTATTACTTACATGTATGTGAATCCATATTTGTTAAGTGTAATCGGATTATGAAATAAATTACACAAAAATTAAAAATATCAATATATGTTTATTTACAAAATGCATACAAAGTACATACAAATACATTCAAACTTCTTCACTTTCATAAAAAATATCAAATACATTAAATATTAATCTCCTGCATTAGAAAAAATCATATAAAATAACTTTATTCAATGGCCACCATACTATTAAATGCTCAACAGCCCTCGAACTCTTTTGTGCTCAACACTTTTATTTTGTAGTAGACTTGTTTAGCATTGAACCAACTGTTGGAGTTATCAAAAACAAATGTATCTAAAAAGTCAGTGATAAAAATTAGTTTAAAATGCAAAGATTAAACAAAATGAATGAAATATTCTGAAAATGCAATTTTTTTTTTTGTTGTTGTTATTTATGAATTTACCAGGTATCCCAAAAATTACGCAAGATGTATTGAATTAATAATAAAATTTATATAATTCTAATACTATAAATTACAAGGTGTCCAAAATTTTGTAAAATGCAATAAAGAAAACGTAAAGGAAATAGAAATGAAAGATTTGCCAGTGTTTCTCTTAGGCAATTAGTATTCGTTCTCGCCAAGTTTTGACTGTTGGACTGATCGTAAAGACACGGTTGCCAATAGAACACCGAAGTCAAGCATCACTGGCTGAGGTCAGAAAGCGGGTGGGTGACCACTTTGATCAGTCTGCGTTGGGACCGAGGATGTGCTGTCGATTAAGAAGCCAATCAGGTTTGGCACACACGCGTGACGTCGCTTTCAGGTATCCATTTGAATTTGATTTAAACTAAATGGTTATTTTATTTCATAGCCGGAGTTGAACAGCTGACCCAATGCTGAGTTTACGATTCTCAATGTTCAACTCCTAACTCAGATGACAAGTGAACTCCTGGTTTAAGTATCAAGTATTCTGGTAAAACTAGAATTCGTGGAGAAAGTTTTGATGGAACTTACTTCCATTAGGGTTACATGAGAAAAAACCACGGAAACTTCCCACAGTTAGCATGATAGCAAGGGGATTCTAATCCATGATCTGTCTACCGCTGTGAACACTTCACGTCAGCACTTTGATCGGTGCTAGTCAGGTGCAGAATTCGTATCATCTAGCCACCGTTGAGATTCGAATCTCATTCACGTCTTTGGGAGGCGAATGCTCTATCTTTGTGTCACATGGTTGGGCTTCTCTTGTTTTCGAGTTGCAAATACCCAATTGTTCTAAAACTGAATAACACAAGTTGCCTGGTATTTTTTCACGCAAGAAAGATAGTTCGATTTAATTGACAAGCATTACTTCAATAATAAAGCTATTTCCTAATAATGAATTACATCTAAACTTGACTTCAATCATCAAATACGCCTATTCAAAATTAGTACTCAAGTTTTTTTTTTTTTAATTGAAATATAAATGTGCCGATTTTAAAATGTTTTTTTTTAAAATCATAATTTGAAATGAAATACTTACAAGTTCCAGCTTTATTACACCTGTAGACTTTTTTTTCTGGTTTATAATTCGTCTCAATCCTGTGAAGGGGAATGACATCAACTTGCTTAGATTCTTTGGATTCTGTATACTTCAACCCGAAGTAGATGTCCTGCTTGGAAGATTCAAATTCGAACTTGATAACAGATTTGGGATTGTCAACATAAACTGGAACTTCTACAGCAGAATGAGCGTTAACTGTTACAATTCGACCGTCAGGCTTTTTTCGTAATTCACTGAAATTTTTATTCAAGAAATATTTTTCTGGTATTATTCCAGCATGCTCAACCTATTTTATAGAAATAAGCGTTTGTTAATAAAATATGACGAAAGAGGTAATAATTATTGCATGCATACACATTCATGAAGTACGATAACTCCGCAAATAGTGTATATCTTTGCTTCAAGAAACTATAATCGAATACGTCATGAAAATGTTTTGTGTTACATAAAAATATCAGCATAATTCATATTCGCTTTCTAGCATACTAATGCAGCTTTATTATAGCTCTACAAAAAATATGTGTACATATCACCTTGAATAACTTTTAATCTGAATGGTTCTACAAGATGACATCAAAGATAATTAATTAGTGAATGCGATATTTTAAGTCACGAAATCAGACACACAAAAAGTCGCAATCGCAATCTATTAGTCACAATCTGGGAAATATGGTCCCCATGGTTTGGTCAGGATATCGCTCAAAATTTTGGATCTCTTAATGTTAATTTTATTTTGTGCGTATTTCACTATATTTCGAGAACTTTTTAACCGAATTGAAAAATTTTTGTACACAATTATAAAATTCGTTTATCCAAAGATAACTTCATGCAAAATATAACTTTTAGTAAATATTTATTTTTTGCTTCATTTAATAATGGTCGAAAAAATTTTGAATTGTAATGAAACAATTTTTTGCATTACTTTAAACAAGGCAAAATACAAAATTTGAGCAAAATCTGTCAAATAATTCATGAGAAATCGAATTTTAAATGTCGAAAATTTCCTGAATTTAATTTCTCCTCAATTACTCAACCAATTTTGCCTAAATTTTGTATTTTGCCATGTAAAATTATTTTCCTTAAAACGTTGAAAAAGCTGTTTACCTTACAATTCAAAATGTTTTCGACCATTATTAAATGAAATAATAAAAAGTAGTAAACATATTTTAAAAGTTACTTTTTTGAAGAGATTTATCTTCGGATAAACAAAAATTGTGTGCAAAAATGTTTCACTTCGGTCGAAAAGTTCTCGGGATATAGCGAATTACACAAAAACTAAAATTAACATTAAAGGGTTTAAGCTTTGGCGAGCTCTCCTAACCGAAATCTTAGGACCATATTTCCCAGAGTGCGACTACCCCTTAAATTTTGGGTGTCAAAAATTCAAATTCATCGAAAGAAAGGTATGTTTATTCAGAGAAAGTACGCTTTGGTGTTTAATTTCGTAACTTAAAATTTTATTTGCACAAAATAATTAGCATATTTCAGGACTCCCCCTGAAACCATTAAGATTTAGTCCTAGAACGTGAAGATCCCATCGATAGTTCAATAGTTATTCAGGGTGGCCCCCGTTTTTTTGGCGCATTGTACATATTTATCATAAACTTACTTTCAAAATTAAATATTCGAAATATTTTAATATTCATATAATGGCATTTATAAACATTGTTTTCTAAAAATAATATATGAATAGTATTTTTTTATAAATAAAAGGAGAGAATATCTAATCAAGCGGTTGTGCATGGCATGTTGAAGACGAAGCTTTAAAGCGTGGGTTTATTATCAAGCTGAATCAATTTTTGCTGAATCAATTTATAGATTTAATTGGATACCTGCAATCGTAGTTACGCACGTGTGTATAACCTGATTGACTGACCCACGTGTGACGTTGCTTGCAGGTATCCAATTAAGAGAAGACCCCTTCTTTCATTCACGCATGAATATTTATTATTACCCTGAGTAATATCCGTTTTTAGATAAGATCACTTCGTATTATTAAAAGAGACTTTGAAAGGAGAGTTTGATTTGAGAGGTGACTTTGATTTGAAAGGAGACTTTAGTTTAAAAGGAGACTTTGGTTTAAAAGGAGACTTTGGTTTATGTTCTAATCTACTTACAAAGGTATTGCAAAATGGGTTTCCATCTGGGTCTGTACGTGATCCTCCAAGGAATGCTGGTAAGACATCGTCTGGAATGATCTCCAGTAATTTTTCCTTCCAACCATCTGTAAGACATTTTAGCAATTAATAAACAACAAACTTTTGAAGATATAATATAAGATTCATAAATAGTAAATTGAATATTCAGATATTCTCCAGAATTATAACTAATCAATAGAGTATTAAAAAATTATTAGTTGAAGTTCAGAAAAACTTTTAACTTTTTCTATAAACAAGATTATTATGTCTAGTTTGCATTTTCACTCATTTTTACTAAAGCAGAATTTTCTGATGAGTAGACGTATTGTTTGCATGTCATATACTTTTGCAAGAGGGTAGAACTGTGGAATTTTTTGTTAGGTTGAATAAGTGGAATATAAATACTTCTCTTAAAATCTTTTGACTTTGCTGCATAAACTTGCACATAAGTGTTCCGTCGGGGGAGGGACATGTTCTTCTTTAAAAATTTGCCGAAATTTCAGAAGTTTTGTAAAGTTTATTTCATTTAATGAGCCGCAGAAAGTATATTTATTAGCAATATAAATATAACAAATTAGCAAATATATGAAAAATCTAAGAATGAACAAAAATTGTCTTTGCAAAATTTTTTGAGCAATTAATTGTTTAAAAATACCCTTAAAAATATGGAAATTTCCTTGAAATTCAAATGTAGTGAATCAGTCTTAACATTTTACAGGAAGTGATTTTAATTTAGAAATTTTACCATGGCCTTTTTTATTTTTAGGATTAAAAATAATCAAAATTCCGACTTGTTATGGTTTTATACTATGTCTTATGAATACATTAAAGAATTTGTTATGTTAAACGAAAAATTTTAATTATTGCAAAAATATTAAAAATTACTCTTATAGACAATTTTTTCTGTGTAGTGTGTAATATATATATATATATATATATATATATATATATATATATATATATATATATATATATATATATATATATATATATATATATATATATATATATATATATATATATATATATATATATATATATATATATATATATATATATATATATATATATATATATATATATATATATATATATATATATATATATATATATATATATATATATATATATATATATATATATATATATATATATATATATATATATATATATATATATATATATATATATATATATATATATATATATATATATATATATATATATATATATATATATATATATATATATATATATATATATATATATATATATATATATATATATATATATATATATATATATATATATATATATATATATATATATATATATATATATATATATATATATATATATATATATATATATATATATATATATATATATATATATATATATATATATATATATATATATATATATATATATATATATATATATATATATATATATATATATATATATATATATATATATATATATATATATATATATATATATATATATATATATATATATATATATATATATATATATATATATATATATATATATATATATATATATATATATATATATATATATATATATATATATATATATATATATATATATATATATATATATATATATATATATATATATATATATATATATATATATATATATATATATATATATATATATATATATATATATATATATATATATATATATATATATATATATATATATATATATATATATATATATATATATATATATATATATATATATATATATATATATATATATATATATATATATATATATATATATATATATATATATATATATATATATATATATATATATATATATATATATATATATATATATATATATATATATATATATATATATATATATATATATATATATATATATATATATATATATATATATATATATATATATATATATATATATATATATATATATATATATATATATATATATATATATATATATATATATATATATATATATATATATATATATATATATATATATATATATATATATATATATATATATATATATATATATATATATATATATATATATATATATATATATATATATATATATATATATATATATATATATATATATATATATATATATATATATATATATATATATATATATATATATATATATATATATATATATATATATATATATATATATATATATATATATATATATATATATATATATATATATATATATATATATATATATATATATATATATATATATATATATATATATATATATATATATATATATATATATATATATATATATATATATATATATNTAGTGCCGCGTTGTGGTGGCCCAAAATAGCGGACACTACACCGCCCTACATGACCCTACATAAGAAGACAGCTTCATGTCAATGGGTACCAGCTTGTTTGGGAAGTAAAAGTGTTCTGCGCGCAATGCTGACCGCATTGCCACAATCATGCCGTTGGTCCCGAAATCGTGGAGCCTGAACCTCCATGACCCCCCTGGCCCACATGAAGCGTTTTGGGAATGCTTTACTATTAAATGAACTAATAGCCAAATGAAAAGCAAGCTATATGTGTTTATCACACCATGCAACATGAATTTATGATGTATGTCAGAAATTATTCTTTTATTTACTTGCTTTTATTTACTTGCTATAAAATGTGATGCAAACAATTATTATTGATTATATGAATTATATTATTGTAGTTGATAAAAAAAACGTTTATAAAAATGCGTCACATTTTTTTTTAAAAATCAAATGTTTTGAAACTTTTTTTTTAAAATTTTTATTATTCTTATGAATTTCGACTTTATAATTTTTTTTCTTTGCACTTTAATCGTTGTACTCCAAACAAATTATTCTAAATATGTATTAAGTTCTGAAAAATAATGCTAACTATATAGTTATGAAATAGGCCAGGAGCACCGTAATAGCAAAATATTTATCATTTAGCTTATCATTTCACATGTTCATATTTAATGCAAGTATGCGGAATAGTGATAAATGTAACTTATATATAAAAAAGACTATTATTTGGTACACTTAATAGATTAAATGTTTTTTATCTATGAAAAGTACATAAACATAAGCATACCTGTTCCATAGACATGAATTTTGCTCAAAATGGATCCAGACAGCATCCTTTGTACTACGCTAAATACCATCGTGAAATAAACAGAAGCTGAAAATAGAACACAAATGATTTCAGTTTAAAGGCTATTTTTAACACAGATACTTATCTTTTATTTCTATAGCTCTTTAAGAATTGATTTAACAGTGATTTTCAACCTGATTATTTAGCATAATATTTTCTACATTAAATCAACTATCAAGTTGTATTATAACATAACGTGTTTTAAAAAAATAACGAATGATCTAAAAAATCAAGAAAAAATAGAAAGCGATAAAAATTGCTGCGTTCTGTTTAACAAAATCAATTAATTCATTTTATCAAATTTAGAAACTATTTCAAACAGATGGTGCAAACGCAATATGCAATACAAAAATATACTTTAACACAATGCTTTTTCTCTCATTACAACTTAAATATGTACTATGCGCAAGATAAAAAACGGACCACCCTGAATATCTTTTGATCTAATGATTCGATCTTCATGTTCTAGGACTCAGTCTTAATGGCTTGAGAAGGTGACCTCAAATATGCTAATTAAATAGTGCAGATGATATTTAAAGTTACGAAATCAGATATACGGACGTACTCTTAGAATAATAAATTCTTAGAATAATAAATTAGAATAATTCATATGATAATATATTCGAATAATTCTTAGAATATAAAATTGGTTTAGCCAAAGATAATTCCAAGCGAAAAAATAAGTTTTAGTAATTATTTATTTTTAATTATTTAATTTGATGACAGTCAAAAGCATTTTGAGTCGTAGGGTATATAATTTTTGCATCATTTTAAAGAATATATAATTTACATGGCAAAATACAAAATTTCAGCAAAATTGGTCGAATTGTTTCTGAGAAATTGGAATGACATGTATAAAAATAATTGCAAAACCCGTTTCTGTGTGCAGATAAGTTGCAAATCGTAAAATACGCTAAATTGATCCCCTTTATATGGGAGAAAGGATTTAAAGCGGAATTAAACTAAAAAATAACATTAAACACAAATAGAACTTAAACATTAATACAAACAAAAATATCATTTATATAAACAAAAAATAACATTAAACACAAAAGAAACTTACCATTTACTATGTATACTGATTTTAAGATCTCAGGGAAATTATCTTGAAATATGGATAGACCTTGTAAGTAATATTCAATAGCTGAAAGGAAAGACAAAAACGTGGTTAATGATTTTTTGATATTTTTTCACCGACCTTAAATTATTTTGTTACAATTGATTTGAATACCCTAAATTCATATACCGCTCTATAGTTGCAGAAGTTGAAGATGCAACTAAAATACAAATTACAGTCAATTCGCTATAACTTGAAGTACGATAACTCGAATATTACTATAACTCGATTTTTTTATGAGGTCCCGACTCTTTTATCTTCATTTTCATGTTAATTATTCTCGATTACTCGAATTTTACTCCCTTTAACTCGATTTTTTTTGGATCTTTTAAAGCAAGAAAAAAAAAACCCAGGAGCTGAAATCTTGCCTCTTCCTTTGCAAAACACGCACAATGTCTTTCGCATTCTTCATGGAGAAGCTAAAGCTGTCCCTCTTGAAGTATGTAAACAGTGATCAAATGAAACGTTACCAAATTTACTTCAAGGATACAGTTAAAATGATGTTTTCAATACTGATGAAATGGGTTTATTTTTTAAATGTCTTCCAAATAAGACTATGTTTAAGGATTAAAACTGCTCAGGGGGTAAAATGAGCTAGAAACGTTTGATTGTCCTAGTTGAAGGAAATGCGTCTGGGACAGAGAAATTGCCCTTACTTGTTATCGGAAAATACCGACATCCCCGATGTTTCAGGAATGTAAAAACGTATCCTTTGGATTACAAGTTTAACAAAAAGTTTTGGATGACATCAGTTTTATTTGAAAACTACGTAAGAAAATTGGATCGGAAATTCTTCGCTAAAAAAGAAAAGTGATACTCTTTATGGATAAATGCGCAGCGCATAGTGATCTACCTATTTTGAAAGCAGCAAACTTGCAGTTTCTCCCGCCAAACACAACAGCAAAGTTGCAGCCGATGGACCAGGGTGTCATAAAGGGCTTCAAACAGTCTTATCGTAAATGGCTTGTCAGAAAAATGATCTTAAATATTGTAAGCATTTAGAAAGTTTGTAATTAATAAGCATTAATTGAATAATCCGACAATATTTTGAAAGTCCAAAACTAACGGTAAGTCGAACTTCCGATATGTCGAAGTTTTTCGTCAGTCCTATCAGATTCGAGTTATCGCGTATTCACTGTATTATTCGTGTTAATTAAATCATAATTTGTTTTCCCAAACTAGTAACTAAACAAAAAATAAATCTTGTCCCCTAGGAAATCAGAAAAATGATAATTTAAACCTATTTAAATCTTTTTATGAACTTAATAATCGAATAAGTTTTGATGGTATATTCCTGCTGAACCAACAATAATTATTATTAAACCATCATGGAAATACATTATCGTACCATTATGGGCCATTGCGAATATCTATCATAGTATCTTAAATGTAATATTAATATTATATATATATAGATATATGTATAGATAATGATGTAATATAAATGTAATTTAAAGTAAATGTTGGAACGATCATGAACCGCCATCATCCCAATGTAGGAATTCGGAATAATTTATGATGATCCAACATAAAAAAAAAAACAAATTGTTTTGATGGTATATTCCAAAGAATATACAAGAATTCCGGAAATGTATAGTTGAAACCATCATGGACCATCACGAATCATTATGGATTGCTGATCCATGAGAATCAAATTTTTCTCGATGGTTAACCATCATAGTATTAGTGATGAAAGTTAGTTGGCTTATCAAAACTCATGAGTGCGTAATGGAAAATGTTTAATGATGGCGACCATCAAATGATTTTGATCCAGCATTAATCGCACTGAAGCCAATATGGACCAGCAAAATGTTTAGATGGAACCAAAAATAAAATTTTGACTTTGGCTTCTCCCTTGAAGTGAGCCTATGCTACGGAGGAATTTTAACTCTTTTTTGACGGAAATTGCTAACGCTTGCTAATAGCTGCCTTTGAGTCTCTTTCACGGGGACGTACCCAGGGTCGGATATTCTTACTGTTCTGTATAAATCCATGAAATTTCCGAATTATGAACATGTTCTACAATAAAGTACAGAAAAGTAGATAAAATACCTTTGTTTTTTATTCACATACTTTGCACAAGTATTTTCTTTCTGAAGTGAGAGTGTTTCATGTTGGTCCGTATACGTGACAATCGGCACGAAAAGGTTAAACATTACGATTTAGACAAGTGAGGTATTGTTATGTTTTTTTCCTATGTATGTTTTACCCTGATTCTAATGAGACTAGTGGCACAGAACACGAGAAACAATTCAGAATATGGGAAAAAATTAGACAATTTAGTTTAAGTGTGGCCTCTTTCTGATCTTCTCAATAAATTCAAGATGGCAGCTACGTCTCACGTTATGGGAGAAAGCAAACTTAGTTTTCTATTTTGGGCCCAAATTTAATTTTTAAAAGCAACTTGCAACTTTCCCTTAACTATTCTAATATTCAACTACTTAGAAGATTTTATAGTATATCTTTTTAATTGTGTAAATAAATAGAAATATTCGCTTAGCTTTTATTAAATAATTTAAATTTTATTTGCATCTGTAGTAGAATTGTTAGAATTTATAGAATTTCCATTTTCCATATACTTATCTATTCTAAAGTTTTGCAAAAATTAAAAGTTCCATCATATGTAGATGTTATTTTTATTACGACATATTATAAAGTTCTAAAGAAAATTATTTGAAGTCCAATTGGTAAACATTTCCCCCCTATCTCTTATTTTATTTTATGACCGTTGTTGAACAGCGGACCCAATTTTGAGTTTACGACTACCAATGCTCCACTCTGTAAGAAAACCTCGAAAACATCCCATGGTTAGCTCAACAGCAAAGGGACTCTAACCCATGATCCGTTTACCACAGAGGATATTTTACGTCAGCACTGTGGTTGGTGCGAATCCCAGCCATTGGTGGGATCGAACAAGTGTCACTTCATTGGGAGACAAATGCTTTGTCCCTTTATTCCCCACAGCTCCCTATCTGTTATTGGAAAAATGCGCAATCTAAAAATTAAAGAGCTATTGTCATAATTCTCATCACTTCATATATTTGTTGTTGAGTTTTGCCTTTACAAATGTTCGATGGCAATCTAATTCCATTGAACTGTGATGGATCAGGGGATAGAGCTTCCGCCTTCCAACGAGGTGAACCGGGTTCGTATCCCAGCGACAGCTGGCTTTTACAAATTCCGCATCCGGCTTGCTGATGTGAAAGTTTTCAGTGGTAGGCGGATTATGGGTTAGAGTACTCTTGTCATCTGGCTAGCCGTGAAAGGTTCTCGTGGTCTTCCTCTCAATGGAAAGCAAATGCTGGTCAGTTCCCTCCAAAAATCCTCCACGAAGGTAAATTTCTCCCAATACTTGATCCAGGAGTTCCCTTGTCTTCTGTATTGGGTTTAAAATTACAAGGCTACCGAGTCAAAAATTAGTAGTCGTAAACTCAAATTTGGGTCGACTGTTCAACGACGGTTATAAAACAAAATAAAATCTAATTCTATTAAGTTAAACACTGTATATAATTTTAAATATTTGCATTCCTAATTCTTAGAGTTTACCTTGATTACACTGATAAATAAGAATTACACGTAATCCCGGTAATTTTATTTTAAATTGTCTAAACAATACCTTCGGATAGTTTAAAATAAAAGTACCGGGAAACAACGCAGTTCAAAACTGCGCAATAAAATTGTGGAATGTGCGTTTTTAATCTCCAAATTAATTTACCTCTCATAAATTCTAAATCTATTTTTTAAATGATATTTCTAATAGGAAAAATAATACATGTGAGAATAGGAAATATTTGCATAGAAGAAAAACAAGGAAATCACAAAAAACAATACCTCATTTATAATTTGATGTCATTTTGATAAGATGAGAATATCCAATGTCATTGAATAGACAATATGGACATCGATTTATCTTGCTCAAAAACTCATCTTTATTTTGCATAGTTGGTATGAATTTAAAAACAAAATGCATTGAATAATGTTAAATTATTTATTGAAAACCATCATGCTATATTGAACTCTTAATGGTATGAGGCAAACCTTTATTAACTTTTACAAACGCAATGAAAATTTATGCTTTGATAAATTATAAAGCTCTTATGATAAATACTATGACTAATAACTGATATATTATCGAAGGCATATAATCGTCAAATCTTGTTAACGACATTAGTACCATTTTTCAATAACCATGGGTGGTTTTCCTCTCCATGTAACGCAAATGCGCGTTAGCTCCATCAAAAAGTCCTTCATGAAGGTAAATTTCCCCGATTACTTAATACAAGAGTTCCTTTGTCTTCCGGATTGAGTTCAAAATTACAAGGTTACGAAGTTCAACATTAGTAGTCGTAAGCCCAAAATTGGGTCGACTGTTCAATGACGGTTATGAATAAATAGCGAAGTAATAAAGAAAAAAATAAGGAAGAAACAATAAAGAAATAAGAAAGGTTGAAAAGAGGGGCAATATTATGATAGGTTGAATGCAAAAGTATTCCACATAAAATGAGTTTCGAAGGTCTTTAAATGCAAATTCACGCTCTTTTACTACAGATAAATTGGAATCACCCTATAGGGTCAGTATAAATTAATTTTCTTAGTTTAAAATAATTTGTTCATCAGTATACATTAATTAAATAAAAAACTGCACTTTTTTTAATTAAAAAAAAAAGCTGAAAAAAGCAGTTGAATGTTATATCTCCATAATATATTTTAAGTATCATGCATTTTCTGCTATATCTCTAGAAAACCATTTATTCAAATCAAACAATATTTTACATGTCTCAAGACATTTATGTCTGTCTCAAGATGTTTATCAAATTTTCACCAATCTTTTTTTTTTAGTAATAATTAATATTTTTTGTAAATTTTTTTAAAATAATAATCGAAAAAAGTGAAAATTGTTATGCGTTAAAATTTCTAAATTTTTTTTTTTTTAAGTTAACATTTTCGAGGGAACAATCTAAAGTTTTAACAAAATCAGCTCAATATTTTCTGCATTATAAAAATGCAAAAGTACAATTATTTCTCAT